TGTCTGCCTATTTGGCCAATGGCAGGCGGGCTACGGTGCCAATCCCACCCCTTCACTTATTTATTTTTATTGAAGAAGAAGAAGAAGTGTTTGGATTTGATATCCCGCCTTTCACTCCCCTTCAGGAGTCTCAAAGCGGCTAACATTCTCCTTTCCCTTCCTCCCCCACAACAAACACTCTGTGAGGTGAGTGGGGCTGAGAGACTTCAGAGAAGTGTGACTGGCCCAAGGTCACCCAGCAGCTGCAGGTGGAGGAGCGGAGACGCAAACCCGGTTCCCCAGATTACGAGTCCACCGCTCTTAACCACTACACCACACTGGCTCTCAATTGAGTGATTGATGATATACTGCCGTATACCCGGAGGCTTAAAGGAGGTAGGTTTCCAGGGAACGCCAAGTAATTTTTTTCCTGAAAAGGGGGCAGTAGGCCAAATAAGTTTGGGAGCCTCTGCTAAAATATATAGTTTGGGTAGGGATCAAACCCTTCCGATAGCTAAGATCTGTCAACAATGTTTAGTCAGATAATTTACTATCCTTTTGACTGCACTACCATGGACTAGAGAGGAAGCAAATACGCAGAAATAAAAAGTCACAGTAAGGGAGAGTTGAATTGCATTGGGGGTGGTGGGGGTGGGGAGGGTGAATGGATCACAGGGTTGTCAAGAAAATGAAAGACTTCCTAGTTAATCAGTAAACCACCTCCCCTCCTCTCTCCATGTTTTGCCAAAATAAAGCAAAAAACAAAATGCTGTCCCTTTTGTTACACATTGACACTTGGCAGCTGTGGACATGGCCTGGCTTTTAATCCATCCATCCATCCATCCATCCATCCATCCACCCATCCATCCATTCAAAGCATTTGTAACCCACTAGCATCATAGAACTATAGAGCTGGAAGGGACTTCAATGGTCATCTAGTGCAACCCCCTGCAATGCAGGAACAGAACAAGTTGGTAGTGTCTGGCATTTCTTGGGAATTCTAAGAAACAAACAACAAAAAAGCAGTGCAGTTTTGAATTCAGTGGTTAAACTCAACCCAGTTTTGAAAGGTTCAGTCCACTATTTTAATTCAAAATGGCACCCAGTTGTATCCAAACTTAGATGAAACCCTGCTCTTAGGAAACCATCGGGCAAAATTGGGTTATGATATCTTAAGAGGGGTCCAAATGCATTGAGGAAAGGCAGAGAAAAATATACTAACTATACAAATACACTATATTATACAAATATTTTTATATTCAAAGTATGCAGTAGACTCTTCAGTCAGAAAGACTTTTGGAGCAGTTTACCCTCAAGGGAAAAGGGCAGGTGTGGGCAAGGAAGAGGAAAACAAGCAAAAGTCAGGCCTTTGAATCCTCCTTTTGGAACTCTCCTCAGGCCAAGCCCACTCCCCAAATGGCAGTTATCTCCCCAATCCACACCCATCACCAGCCCTCCTCAAGTGTGTTTGCCTGGCTGGAACATGTCCTTGAACCACAACCACACCTGTCCTTTGCCTGGATGGAGAATGGAGTTGTGCGTTTGTGTGCATTCCCTTTGGTAGGAATGTAGCCTATGTTACACAGGTAAGACAATGTCTCAGTTGCCCCACCCACTTTTGCCTCTGCCCCGCCCCCCCAGCAAGTGGCCCCTGGAAGACTGTCCATGAGGCAATGCGGCCCTTGGGCTGGGAAATGTTTCCCACCCCATCTTGGAAATAACTGAAACTAAAAAGTCTGGGGAGATTTTTGAAAATGTAATGATTCACCTGATACGGAAAAGACACCGTGCAGCTGCCAGATGAGTCTTTCGGCGAAGGCAGTTCCACAATTGGAACCACACCTCTCTCCCCCGCCCCCACTGGATCCCGATAATCACAAATGCCACCTTTCACATTATATTCTTCTTGGTACAGACAATATTTAGAATCCCAGATCTACCAGAAAATCAAGTAACTTATTAAAGTTCACTGATGCTCTAATGGAAAGTTAAGCCTCTTTTAAACCTCCCATACGTCCTGTTTTTCATCTTGCACTGGATTGCAACATCTCCAGGGTGAAAAGACCGTTGCTGTGAAACAAGCCTCTTCCCTCCCTCCCTCCCTGGGTGACGCCTGACAGCTCATCTGAGCTCTCAGGTTACGTTTGGCAGCAGCACAGATATGAGGCAGGCTGGACTGAGGAAGCACTGCTTAGAGCACCTGTGGCTGCCAAGGTGATGTGGACTCTAACAAGAAACCTTTGAGTAGGCTCAGGAGTTTACTGGGCTGGGAGAAGGATTTTGGGCTTCACTATCAGGGTCCTTCTCTGCCCCCCAAAATGTATTGGTTGGAAAGAAAGTTCCTGAGTCGAATCTCACGCCTGCTGGTGTTTGGGAGCCTGATGTTGTTTGCCACTGGCCTTCTGAAATACTCCACTTGGCAGTGTGACTTCAGCCACTTGGGGAAAGACATCGCAGACCCTGGGATCCAGCTCTGCAAAGACAGGCTCTACCAGTCTGTGAGACTCACTCCCAAGGGAAATATCAGCTGTTCACAGATCAGCAGAGGGGACCCCAAAGAGATCGAGAAGGCTATTCTGAGCAGGCTGCAACTGAAAAACAGAAGGGATCTCCTGGGAGAGAAAGAGTACCTGAACATGACTGAGGACTGTAGACTCTTCAAAGAAAGCCGGAGGTATATCGAGTTCCCACTGAGCAAAGAGGAGGAGGATTTCCCCATCGCTTACTCCATGGTGGTCCATGATCAGATTGAAATGTTTGAGAGACTGTTGAGGTCCATCTATGCCCCCCAGAATGTGTACTGCGTCCACGTTGACAGGAAGGCCCCAGAACCTTTCCAAGAGGCAGTGCGGGCCATTGCCTCCTGCTTTGGGAATGTCTTTGTGGCATCTAAGCTGGAGAGTGTTGTGTATGCTTCATGGTCCAGGGTCCAAGCTGATTTGAACTGCATGGAAGACCTCCTTCAGAGCAAAGTACATTGGAAATACCTCCTGAACACCTGTGGGACAGACTTCCCCATCAAAACCAACGCAGAGATTGTCCATGCTCTAAAGCTTTTGAATGGGAAAAACAACATGGAGTCAGAGAAACCGTCAGAGAGCAAAAAGGGCCGGTGGAAGTACCGGCACGAAGTGACCAATTCTGTGGTGAGAACCTCCGCTGCAAAGAACCCCCCTCCACAAAGCTCCCCCATGTTCACTGGGAACGCATACATCGTGGTCACCAGAGAGTTTGTTCAACATCTTTTTGAAGATCCAATGGCAAAAGCACTGATAGAGTGGTCCAAAGATACTTACAGCCCAGACGAACATTTGTGGGCCACTCTGCACCGGATGCCAGGAGTCCCAGGGTCAGTCCCCTTTAGTGCTAAATTTGACCTGACGGACATGAACGCCATTCCAAGGTTGGTGAAGTGGTCCTACAGTGAAGGGGACATCAGTAAGGGGGCCCCTTATCCTCCTTGCTCAGGCTCTTACCGGCGAGCAGTGTGTGTCTATGGGGCAGGCGACCTACACTGGATGATCACCCAGCACCACCTCTTTGCCAACAAGTTTGACCCCAGAGTTGATGACTATGCCTTACAGTGTTTAGAAGAGTACCTGCGCTACAAATTAATCTATGGGAAGCAGCTCTGAGTGAATGCCCTGAAGGTTCCTCACCAAGAAGACAATTTAGAAACTTATGTTTTGAGGTCCTGGCACATGGATCTATCTAGCATGATGGTCAACCCATTCCTAAAGTACTTAGCTAGCAGCCAGTAATCTCTTCACTGAGATCTCAGAGACATACATTTGAGTGTTGCATAGGTCAAGGAAAGAAGGTGCCGGGAGGAGGAAGGTGACTTATGGGGAAGCTGCACTGGGGGGGGGGGAGATTTGTTAGTCACTCTCCTGCCTTGTGCTGCTCCATTGCCTGAAGGAAAATCTGATGCACAGCTTTGGTTACATTTATTTTTTTTCTTTAATGAGTGTATGTGAAGGAAGAAGTGAACAAATTGTTCTTTAATCAAGTCTCTATTTACTGTGTTCCTTTTCCTGTATGTAAAATGTGTGGGGATTATAGTGCCTGCACTGATGATGGGAAGGCTCTGATAGGCATAATATAGCAGGACTGGGTTAAAATTCATCTCATGGCTCAATCTGTTGAATTTTGTCCCTCAGCAAACCAGGGGATTATTTTTTCTCAACTTGAGTGGTAGAGTTTCAACAGCAGGTTTTTTTCCCCACACTACCTGTTTCCTGGTGAGATGAGAGCCCTTGAGATTTAGAATGGTTTTGTAATATGTTTCTGTAGAAATATACAAATTTTCACAGGCATTGCTAGATTGTGATGTAGCACCTGTTTCTTGGAGCTGCAACAAGTCAGATGTCTGTCTCCTGCACTGCTTGCAGCTCAGCTTTTAAACATTGTTTGTTTGTTTTTCAGCTCATGTGCAAGTAAAGTAAGTTTGGTAGTTAGTAGCCACTAGCCATCAAAAGCCATCAACACATTTAAGGAAGCACCAGTGTGGTTGGATATTTAGCTATTAACTAAGCAAAGACCTAAGAAGAAAACAAGTCTCCCGTATCTAAAAAGGATGATGACAATGATAGATAGATAGATGATAGATAGAGAGATAGATAGATAGATGATACCTCTTTAAACAGCTGTGGTTTCCCCCAAAGAATCCTGGGAACTGTAGTTTGCTGAGCGTTGGTAGGAGGCCCCATTTTCTTCTCACAAAGCTACTATACCCAGAGCTTCCCATGAAGAGGAGTTTATTATTAAACCACTCTGGGAACTGTAGTTCTGGGAGGGGAACAGGGGTCTCATAGCAACTCAACACCCTTAAAAAATTACAGCTCCCTGAATTCTTTGAGGGAAGCTATGACTGTTTAAGATGGCATCATATTGCTTTAAGTGCATAGTCTGCATGTGGCCTTATAAATTGAGACTTCCCATGCTGGAAGGTTGGGTAACAATCTTTTCTGATGTAGACAGAGGTTGGATCAGTGAAGGGACTGGAGGGCAGCAGAAAGTACTCAAAACCAGCTCAGTTGGTAGAACATGAGACTCTCAATCTCAGGGCTGTGGGTTCAAAATCCATGTTGCGTGAAAGATCTCTGCATTGCAGGGGGTTGGACTAAATGACCCTCATAGCGCCTTCCAGCTCTGCAATTCTATGATCCACACACGTCTCCTGCATACTAACAAGGAAGACTTCAACCACGAAAGCTGTCTCTCGTCATTTCATCTCCAGGCTGAAAATAAGGCTGGCAACAGCACCCATATTGGTTTGGGGCCTCGGGGAGGCAGTACCAGCCAAACTTCGGTATGGTTGGCTGATGGCCCACACTTCCCTACTCCCATACCCTTCAACATTTCTCAGATGAAAATAGGGACATCGTATTCAGTAGTAGTAGTAGTAACAGCAGCAGCAGCAGCAGCAGCTGCAGCAACAACAACAACAATTTTATTATTTATACTCTGCCCATCTGACTCTGGGCGGCTCCCAACATATATAAAAACGTAAGAATCATTAAACATATAAAAACCTCCCTTCAGATGTCTTCTAAAGGTTGTATAGTTACTTATCTCCTTGGCTCAAGGTTGCTTAACTCCATACCCTCCAACATTTCTCCAATGGCAATAGGGACGTCCTAAGAAAAGCAGGACATTCTGGGATCAGATCAGAAACAGGGGCGGCTTCTGTAAATCCGGGACTGTTCCTGGAAAATAGGGACACTTGGAGGGTCTCCACTCCCCCCTGCCAGACTGAGGGTAGGTGCCTCCCCCCCCCCCGAGTGTGTCTTGCTCAAGGGCCTCCAAAAACTATAGTTGACATTGTGGGGAGGGAAGATGTGGGGGCCTCCCCTACTAAAAGAGATCTAAAGGAAAGAGGCAGGGAGGGTGAGGGGCTTAGGAGTCGTTGGAGATGGAACTTGAATGAGTCTGGATGCCTTTTGCACATCTGAAGCACCTTCTTTCCCTCAAAGAATTCTGGGCCTGTGATTTGTTGAGGGTTGTTGGGCACTGTAACTTCGTGTGAGGTAAACTACAGTACCCAGAAGGGTTGAAACATTTTCGGTTACAGTGTTATTTCCTTGGATCATTGCAAAGTTTAGTTCCACATTGGAACCTGTGTTAAACTTTCCAAGTTGGCAGTGGGGCTTAGGATTTTATTTCATGTAGCTGCTGGTCCAGTTTTTGCTAATGGAACATGCATGCTTCTGCTACCTACTGACATCAATCTGGTGTTGGTATTAGTGATTGTGTTAGAAATGCCTAGCTTAGACTTCCCCAACCTTCAGTGCTTTGGGCTACAATTCACACTAGTTGCTGGAAACCACAAGAGGGAAGAGACCTCTTGTGCAGGTTTGCAGGTTTCCACAGGCAACTGCTCAGCCACTGTGAGAACAGGATTCTGGACTAGATGAACTCATGGCCTGATCCAGCAGATGTCTTATGTTCCCCAGAGCTGGGGAACCTGAGGCCTTCCTGATTTTGCCTAGAATGGCTGGGCACTCCAGTCAGATGGGTGGCATATATTATTATTATTATTATTATTATTATTATTATTTGCTGAACAATAACTCCCATCTTCCATGACCATTGGCCATGCTGGCTGGAGGTTGATAGGAGGTGGAATCCAATGACATTTGGAGGGCCACAAATTGCATACCATTGATCGGAAGGTCAGCGGTTCAAATCCCCATGACGGGGTGAGCTCCCATTGCTCTGTCCCAGCCTCTGCCAACCTAGCAGTTCAAAAGCATGCCAGTGCAAGTAGATAAATAGGTGCCACTGCAGCAGGAAGGTAAATGGTGTTTCCATGCACTCTGGCACTTGTCACGGTCCTCCGTGCACCAGTAGAGGTTTAGTCATGTTGGCCACATGACCCGGAAAGGCGTCTGTGGACAAATGCCGGCTCTCTCAGCCTGAAAGTGAGATGAGCACCACACCCCATAGTCGCTTTTGACTGGACTTAACCATCCAGGGGTCGTTTACCTTTTACCTTTTTTACCATTGATCTAGTAAGATCAGTTGACCTTTGTTGACTGCTTCTATATTATCATGCCCTGTACATTCCATGATGATTTTACACAATGAAAGATCAGGAAATTATGTGTTTTCTACCTTCCTTGTACATATTTGCAGCTATGTAAATAGACAGTTCTTTCCAGTTATGTGATATTGGCTTGTGCCTTATGTATCAACCTTGTGTGTACGTGTGTAAATCACAAGGTGGCCCAACTCACAAATGATTCAGAGTAAAGTGAAGCAGCCGCTGTTTACCCACTTATGTTTGCCTTCTGCTCTTTGCTTTGTAGGCCTGCTTTCTACTGCCATAAAGATAAGGAAGATTACCTGCAGTCAGTTAGCTATTGTGAGAACCCTGATAGGGAATATAAAATCTAAACAAGTGGGGCAAAGGGCACACCTGACAGAGCTATAAGTGCAGAAAGGGAGGTTTACCAGGGCGGAAGTCTTCACATTTTCTGTGTTCGGGGAAGCTTTTCTGTCAAGGAACTGGTGTGCTTTTTGTGGAAGTGGGATGGGAGTGAAATGGGTTTCAAAGTGTGGCCGGGATGTGGTTAAACATCCTGCAATTCTGCAGCCACATAGGAAAGTTTTGTTCTGAAAAGAAGACGACCCTTTGGTGGCTCATGGTTCTAAGCCATGGCGTCAAATCTGCATTCCAAGCAAATGCGTCAGTGCAAATATTTAGGATTTGGTTCGAGGCCAGAAATTCTGTCGGCTTTTTACGTCATAAGGCCAAATGCACACAAGACATTGCTTGTTTTGTGTTTCTTCCCTTTTCATCACTCTCATTCACTTGCTTTCCCCCTTTGCCTTAAAAGCTTACAGAAAGCTAAACTAACTGCTCTCTGGCACCAGGCAGGAAAGGCAGAGGTTACTTAATGTGTTTGATTTTTCTCTGTTGGTAAATGTTTGCAATCTACAAATGTGTTGGTAGACTGCAAATCTAAAGAGGTGCAATTGAGATAAGTAGCAAAAGAATCTGGTTTGTTTCCCAATTTCTCCCCCCCCCCCACTGTTTATCTTGTTTCTGCCACTTGGAAGGTTAGCACCATGGAGTTCTCTACCTGATATGCATTTATGTTGATTTTGTAAAATAAATTAAGATTGGACAAAATCCATCTGGATAACATTTGCTGGATGTGCTCTTGCTATGGAGGAAAATACAGAGGTGTTCCTGAGATGCTGGAGTCAAAATCAGGCCACATGTGTGAAGACTGATTAGAATATAGGGAAGTTGCTTTATACCAAGTCAGGACACTGGTCCACCTACCTTATTGCAGTTGACACTAACTGGCAGCACCTCTCCAGGACTGCAACCTGGGAGCTTCCCCCAGCCATACCTGGAGTTGTTGGGAACTGAACTCGGGGCCTCCTGTATGCAAAACATGTCATGGGAAACCTGAATCCTCTTAATAAGATGTGTGTATGGCAGAGAACTTCATCATCAGGCATGGCTAGCTAGGAGTGGGTCACACCCATGGACAACTATCTATTGCATGACATTGAACTGATGTTGCAAGATCAATGAACCACATCAAGAGAGACATCTAGCTATGCCCAGACGTGGTTGAGACCAAGTTCCACAGATTCCAATTTGCTTCTTTGAAACCTTTCTGACCGAGGTAGGTGAAGAATAGGAACAGAAAGCCCTCACTCTGTGTTTCTTTCATTTCAGTCATATTTAGAGGAACATTTCCCCTATGGTTTTGAACCGATGTTCACCCCCCTTTCTTGCAGGATGATTTAATGTTTCCTGGCGCAGGAAGAGACAACTCCCTTTGCAGAAACTAATAATAACAACTCACCCCTCCCCATCGTCAGGTGGCTCCAGGCACCAAAACAGTTATTAATAATGCTAAATACAGGTGAAGGAATGCCCTTGACCTTCCCACCCAGCAAAGTCATTTGGGCAAGAACTCACTGTGAAAAAGAAAACAACATTATCTGAGAACCTTTGGTGGGGCAACGCATCAGCACTGGTTAAAGGAAGAGCCCAGTGCTGGCTCAAAGAGCTGTAGCCAAACCATTATAGCAGCTTCACTGGCTACTGGCCTGTCTCCAAGAGCAATTCAAAGTGCTGGTTATAACCTATAAAGCTTAGATCCAAGACCATATTGCCTCATAAGAACCTGCCCAGGTTATGAGATCTTCAGGGGAGCCCTTCCCTTGTTCCCACCACATTCACATGCATGCCTGGCAGAGATGCAGGAGAGGGCCTTCTTGGTGGCTGCTCCCAGTCTTTGGAACTCCCTCCCTAGAGAAACTAGACAGGCTACAATCCCTGCTGTCCTTCCCCTGGCAGCTGAAGACCTTCTTGTTCCAACAGGCTTTTGGGAACTGACTGCTTTTAGTGAAAAGGCTGGTGCTGTGCTGCTTTTATTGTAATTTTTACACACACAGTTTTAATTCTATTAATGTTTAATTGTTTTTAATTCTTGTTCTTTTAATTAGCTCTTCTTATTTTATCTGTAAGCCACCTTGAGTCCTGGTCAGGGAAAAGGGTGATGCATATTAATAATATAATAATATATAATATATAATGTCAGTTTTGAGGTTTCTTCATACAATCAGGTGGTATCTAAATTTTATGAAATAAATAACATCTGGAGACCCGCAGTTTCCCATCTCAGTTTGGGACTCTATTTAAATTAGCACATTGACTGAATTGCCGAAAGAAACTGGCAAACAGTTCACAGCTTTGGTATGACCGTAACCTGCCCCTTTGGCTAATGCCCATCAAGAACACAGCATTCTCTTCCAGTTACTGTTGACTCTGAGTCTCTTCAAAGACATCCTGGTTGCTTCAGGGATGGAGAACCTGTGGCTGTCCAGATGTTGCTGGGCGATGACTCCCATCTGCAACATCTGGAGGGTTCCACATCCCACGAGTTCCTCCTCCCTGTTCTAAGGTTGTATGAGGAACCTAACATAACCACTGAGTGAGGGCCTTTTCACACATGACACTCAGCAAGAAACCTGGGTTTGCTGCCACAATGGGAAACTTGGCTATTTGATTTTTGGACACTTATTTGCCACACTTACACTTCACACCTTAAAAAGGCAGTGCAGTATG